AGTTCATGTACTCAGACCAGTAATATTTGGGGTCACAAGTTTTTGCCATGAATATTTTGTGGGTCAGAAGATAAAAAGTTTGGGAACCACTGTAGAACAGTAATGATAGAAAAAACATTATAAGGTCTAAGAAAACAGTTTAAGAACAATAAAAAAGTTTTTAAAAAAGGAAAAAATATATATATATATACATAAGCACACTAAAAAAAGAATAAAAAATTAAAAAGATAAATTTCAGCACAGTAGAGGGTGTGACACAACAGCAGCACAACAGTACAATCAGTGTGTCATCTTTCTGTGATAATTTTAGCCACTTTGTGCTTTGCTTATTTGTGCTAAATGAAGCCACTTTTTTACTAATTTCATCTTTTTTAGCTATTTTATAACAAATTGCAAACCATTTTGTTAATCTTTTTCTCTTTTTTCTGCAAGACTCTTTTGGCATCAAGCATTCACGCTGCGTTTTTGTAGAAAATGCAAATTCTCTAGCTTACAATAATTTAAATCTATGTTTCTTATCAGGTGCCTGGATCATATCAAACACTTTACTAGAAAAGAGTTCCTGAAAGGGTTTAAAAATGCTCGCTGTTGGTTGTTTTACATTTTAAAAGCTTGAAGTGGGCGTGTTTTGACAGCTCAGGTCAGGTTGGGAAAGATAACAGCTTTGTGACTGAAACATCAGACAGTACTGTTTATGTTTGACTTATTTCTGAAGAAATAAAGAAATTAAACGAGCGTCTTGAAGCGATGGAGAATACTCGCCTCACATAAAACAAATTTTAGCACAATAGCTGGAAAAAATACCAAACTTGAGCAATGATGATTGCTTTATGGCCTTTCATATGATGATAATAAATTAACGGATGATTATATCTCATAACAGCATTAATTTTCCACAACCTCGAGCCATTAGTAACACAGCGTATGTGACACATCACATCCCAACCCATTCTCACTCCCGAGTCGTCACATATTGACGTTTTTCAAAGGTCCCTTTGCGTCCAATTTTGACGCATCAGGTACCCCCCTTGCGTCATATTTTGACGGGATGGGGCGGAATCTGTTGTCGTAATTTTTCAAAGTGTAGAAAATGCACAAATAGTACCGTCCCAAAGCGTGAAATTACGTGTATTCACTTTAGACATCCTGTCCCAGACCCTAGTACCTAAAATTAACCATTAACCCTGATACGTAAAATTAACCATTTTTAGAAAATGTAGGAAATTCATGGCAACTACGTGTTGCAAAGCCTAAAATTACCTAATGTTCGCTGTAGACATCCTATCCCTGACCCCAGTCCCTAAACTTAACCATTTATCCTGATCCCTAATGTTAACCTCAGACCCCCGACCCAAAGACCCCTGGTGGCGCAACCCGGAAAAGCCGCGGGCGGCAAGGACTGACGCGAGGGGGGTACCTGATGCGTCAAAATTGGACGCAAAGGGACCTTTGAAAAATGTCAATATGTGACGACTCGGGAGTGAGAATGTGTTGCACATCCACCTGAGGAGTAAGTCAGCACATTTTCAGATTCAGTGTGAGCCACCATTTGCAGCATTTTCTTTTTGATGTTGCACGTTATGGGTCGGTAGGGTTTTGCTGGTCCAGGACCCAAAACGTTTTCAAGGCATGCCAATCCAGCCTCCATTTTTCACCACAAACAAATAATGCGCTGAGGAAACAAAAAATTCCTAAATAATAGGGGTGCAACGATACAGAAAATTCACGATTCAGCTCGATATTTTTTCGATACACAAAAGAGAAATGTCCATACCCCTTTTAACTTGTAATTCATTTAAATTAATTATGAACATTTGTTTAACCTCAAAAGTACAGTCTTTAAATTAAATGTTGCTGAAACAGCAAGTTTCTCAGTGGATCTGCACTCAAAAAGGCAGCCTAGGTGGAGTAGTCGAACACAGATCCACTGATCCTTCAACACAGAGCATCTTCAGAAGACAAGCTGATAAAATAAATTTTAAAAATCTGTATTGTTCCATACAAGTGTGTATTGAACCTAAAGCACAGTTCGATACGGTTCGATGCGGGCACATGTATTGTTGCACCCCTACTAAATAAATATTGGATACATCCCACTCCTGTGCCTGTTCACATTGGATTAGTATTATCAGGACCTCAGAGTTCAGTAATTTTTCAGTTACAAATTACTGACATGACCGATTTGCACGGGATTAATGGTGCGTTCCATTTACATCGTATTCCCGGAACTGGTAAATGGTAGTGACGTCATTTTCCAAAAAAACATATAAAGCTGCATTCCAGTTATGCCTGAGTCACACTACAAGATAATCAGGCCGATTTCTGCCCTTCTGACAATCTTAAGGAAGTCCAGATTATCGTGATGGCTCTAAAGATAATCTGAGCAGATATTCCCACTGTGAGTGGTGAGTTAAGAGTGATCTAGTCGGCTCGGAAGGATGTCGTGATCGCTCCGACCTCAAATCGGGGTTATTCAACATGTTTGATTTTTTTGGCCTGATATCACAGTGTGTGTAGCGTTCACCTGAGCTCTCAGCCTGTTGAATGAGACGTGTAGCCAATCAGAAAGCGAGGTGACGTAAACACAGAGGGGATTCCAAAATACAGAAGACAAAAAACTGTCGTGACTCAGCAGAAAGTCTGCTGGATGTTAAAAGTCCTTTGGAATTGTTTTTGTTAAAAAATAGTCCACAAACGATGAACATTGTTTCTTCCTTGTTGCAAATGTTTATTTACTCTGAACTCACGTCTCTCTGGAGGTCACGTGAGATTTTTCCTCGGACATATGAATTCTCGCGAGATTTCAGGAAGTCTCGCGTGATTTAATATCTGACAGTTCATGAATGAAAAATATTTTCGTGTGTGGTGTGATGTCTCTTGCCGTGTGTCTGTACACCACACACTGAAGGGCCAAACCTGGTAGATCCATGATTTTCTATCCTCATGTGTGGGCTTTGTCAGTCTTTGAAAATCGTCCGACTGTTTTAAAATCTTGTAGTGTGACTCAGGCTTTAGCCGACAGGCGATTATTGCTACCGCTACTACAACACTGCTACAATATAAACAATAACAAAAAGAGAATTATACTACGTACATCATGCAAATAAACATTGATTTTAATGTATGCACAGAAAACACACTACTTGTGCGAGTGATTAAACATGCACAAAGAATTTAAGAAATATAATTAAGAGTAAAAGTATGAAGTTAACTTTCTAAAGCTGCGAGTAGCCGCCATCTTGAAATCGAAATTGGGGGCAGTTTCATTCCTTCCACTTTACGAGTGGAATATTACCACTGGAGGTTCCAGTTTAAATCTACCAATGGGAACTGGGAAATTACCACTTCCCAGAACTACTGGAACACAACAACACAGACAATCTTCAGTTATTACAAACAGCGTGTGGTCTGTAGGTAAAACTAACCTGGTCAGAGCAGGGCTTTACTCCTCAGTTTGATGTGACGGGTCACAGGTGCTTTGGGTCGAACAGAACAAGAACCCACGAGGTCACGAAGAAAAGCTTCAGTAAATGTTTCTGCTGACCTGCAGCTCCGCCGATGAGAGCGGAGGTCCGGGGGGAACGAGGAGCTAAATGCCAAACGGTTTGAAGATTTTTCAGGTCCGTCAGCTCGACTTTACGACGACGATTAAAGCGAGTCCTCCTTCATCCTCTGGCTGCTTCACTTTCAGCTGTTTGGAGCAGCAGGAGACACAATCAGTGACATTTCATCCACTGTGTCTGTTCCACCCCAGAGAAATTCCTTTTTAGTTTTATTAGCAGCCATCCAGCACTAATTAAAGTCTCAGTAAATCTCTCAGATAATTTGTTGTGCTTTAATGGTTAGGCGTAATTACCTTTAATCGCCATCTTCTCTTAAATGTTCATCAGCTAATCTTGAAATTCTTTTAGCAGTTTGATGTTACTGTTGAATAATAAAGTCCTTCAGTTTGTTAGAGGAGCAGGACAACAGGAAGCATCCATGCAGTCCTTAAAACAATCATTCCTTTAATAAAAACTCTTCTACAAATAAATTATCTCCACATTCATGTTGAGCGTTCAGTCTTAGAAGGGATGTTAGGTAGTGTAGGACTTTGTTTTTCTTCTCTCAGTGCATGCTATAAATCTGTTTAGTGAAATGTGTTGTATATAAAGGTCTTTGTAAATAAAGATGAGACGAGATGTTACATATTTGTGTTTCAGAGGAGGAATCTAAGAGAGCAGATTTTTTTTTCTGGCTGAATAAAACATGCAGAATGTAGAAACGTTTGTAAATTTAAGAAAGGGTTGTGTTGATTAAATTAGAATGTAAAAGTCTGAAAACGATGCAGTGTCTCAGTTGTTGCGTTGAGATGGTTTTACTTCCTGTGTGTGTTACTGCTGTCAGCAGCATGTTGTTGAAATGCTCCTCACTCCGTCCATCTGTCACCCCTCAGGCCCGGGTCACGGACCTGAAGTCCTGCGTGGTCGTTTTGAGGATTCTCAGAGAGATGTGCAACCGCCTGCCGGAGTGGCAGCCTCTCAAAGGATGGGTACGTGACGGAATCACAGTCAGTCGTGTTTAAAAACTTTTATGAAAGCAACTTTTTCTCAGTGTCGATGCCCCATTTTTTTTTTTTGCCTCGGCAGCCGTTGGAGGTGATCTGTGAAAAGGCCATAGCCACCTGTAACCGGCCGTTGGGTCCAGGTGAGGCCCTGCGCCGCGTCATGGAGTGCATCGCCTCAGGAGTCCTTTTACCAGGTCGGTGATCAGCGGTTCAGCTGCACGAGACTGTGGATAAATTCAGCATATGGTTACCAAACATGACCCTCAGCCCAGCAGCTTCTATTAAACACCATGTGTAAAAAAGTAAAGTTTACAGCAGGAGTGTCACTTATTTTCACCAAGGGCCAGTTGTAGTTAACTTTGACGTTTCATTTTTAACATGAAAAATCACTTCCCTGAGCTCCGCTAACAAACAGTAACTGAGCTCTACCTGGTATTTCCTGCATAGAAACAGCATTTTAACACGTCCTCTTATAATTACTGAAAAGTACTACCTGTACTACTGACTAAATGTATATAAAACCAGAAATACTATTAAAAGTAAAAGTAAGAGTTTTATTCACTGAGTTGTGAGTGGTAGCCATCTTGAATTCTGAACTCTCCCACTTTCCCACAGGGAATTCCCACTGGAGGTGCATTCCAGTTTAAATTTATAACTTGTAAGTGGGAAATTCCCAGTGTCTGGTGAAAATGCAGTGAAATGGAAATTTTAAACGTCTACTTTTGAACGCTGTGCAGCTCCACCTATTGTTTTTATGCTTTCATTTTTTGGGTAAATAATCGACATGCATTATGGGAAATGTAGTTTATGGTTAATGCTGGCTTAAAAGCAGCTTATTTATGACCCCCGAACGCGAAGCTGGGGGTTCATCTGAATTGATCAGGAGGCCACAGTTACTTAAAGCCAACAGCTCAGGGGCTGGACAAGTGATGTAATCTTTCACATTTAATATTTGTTTATTTAGTTGTTTATTTAGTTGT